GTGACCATATGGTGTGATGGTGTGCCACTTGCCACTGCATCACCTCCGTTCTTGTAAAACGGATGAATGCAAATGTGAGAGCATGAAATCTGTGTAATTTTCAGAGGATATAAAGCTTTTTTTCTAATGTCAACTTGCCATAGCTTCAACCCCTTTGGATCGAAAAGATTCCAAAGTTTTTACGTGAAACATTGATGAAGGGCAGTTTATGAAGAGATACATGGAGCGATTTGAGCAACTAGTCGAGATTTCTCATGAGTAGTCGGTGTCCTTGCGCCCCGTTAGCCGAATCTGGTTTCAAAGGTTAGCCTCAGCGAAGCATTGAGGGCAAGGTACACTCAAGACCTCATACAATACAACATTCTTGATTGTAGTCGTAGTCATCATTAATATTGAGTAACTTTGCGTGAGATTTGATGAAGTCTTCCTATGAAAATACTTTGGAACTCGAATAATGCGAATGTCCAGCACTGTTCAGGCAACATTACTGCACATTAATGCTAGTTATTGTGAATCCATTTAGAAAAGCTTATCTTTGAGTTCTAGGTGGGTATTGAGACACCGCTGAGCCCTTTCGCTCCTCACCCTAACGAAGTTAGCGCCAGTAATGCTTCTGGCGCAGTCAACAACGTCGAACTACGTTCGGGCACTACTTATCCGCCCATCGAGGGTGAGTAATTTATTCTTGTTTTGAACAGAATGATGAAGTGTTTTTTGTTTACTTTTAAACGCTTTCCTCATTTGTTAAGGTGTTCATTAATTTGTGTCTTCCCCGTTTTACTGTATAAGATGAATTCAGGCACTTCTGGCGACGCTAGCACTTCTCGCTGTTCTTCCGCAACTGCTTCGCCACATCGTTCAGCACCACCACCTCCACGGCCTCCTCCACCACATCCTTCCGTTGCTTCGCCAACGGTGTGTCCTCCCCCACCGACGATGCACCCTCCTCCTCCACCCACATGCCCGCCACCGCCAAAACCGCGGCCAAGTCGGCCACCTCCACCAGCACCTGGATGGAAGGTGAAATTTTACCACGTCTTAGTGAAACTATTGATATATTGAAGGTCAATGAATATAGTTGCTCGTGAAGAGCAACATTTGCGAATAGGGCGGCATTTTGAGCCTTCGAGGCTTTTGAATCTGATTTCTTCAATAGCTTGGGCCAGTCATGACGAACTTGATGATCAGATGCCTCCAGATTACAAACGATTGGATGGCATTTTG